AAAATGGTATAGCCAATATGGAAGAATTTTAGCACTTTATAAAGTCAAAATTATACCTAAATTGCTGTGTGACCCAACAATTCCATTCCTAGGTATTTATTTACTCAAGGACAGTCACCTGAGTAAAGCACCTTTGCCCTCATGAGCCAGGGCAAAGAAGCTTTAAAAAAAAAAAAAAAAAGACAGTCACCTATTTTCACATAAAGACTTCTACATGAATGTTTGTAGCATCTTTATGCATAATTTAAAAAAACTGGGAACAACCCAAACATGCGTCAACTGGTTAATGGTTATTCCATATAATACAATGGAATATCACTAATAAAAAGGAATGAGCAACTGATACACAAAACAGATGAATCTTAAACAAATTATGGTGAGGGCAGCCCAGGTGGCTCAGCGGTTTAGTGCCACCTTCAGCCCAGGGCCTGATCCTGGGGACCCGGGATAGGGTCCCACGACAGGCTCCCTGCGTGGAGCCTGCTTCTCCCTCTGCCTGTGTCTCTGCCTCTCTCTCTCTCTCTCTCTCTCTCTGTGTGTGTGTGTGTGTGTGTGTGTCTCTTATGAATAAATAAATAAAATCTTTTAAAAAACCCACACATTATGCTGAGCAAAAGAAGCCAGAAATGAAAGAGCATACACTATCTGATTCCAGCTATGTGAAACTCGAAGACTCTTTGGGTCCAGGGGGAGTTGCTTGCCAAGGGCAAGGAGAGAAATTTGGAAGATGTTGGAAATACTCTAGATTTTTATTTTGGTGGTGTTCACAAGGCTATACATACATTTGTCAAAACTCATTAAACAATACACTTTAATGGATGCTGTTTATTATATGTAAATTGTACCTAAAAAAAATAAAAAGACTTCAAAAAAGAGGCAGGTTCAGCACAGGTCAGAAGGAGAGATCTGTAGAAGAGTCATACTTTGAGCATCAAATGGATATAACAAGAGCCATGAATTTGAGAGGACTGGGATATGTTCCCAAATCATCCAATTATGAGCTCCTACTCTTTGAAACAGCATGGAAAGGGAAAATGCAAAGGGCTTTTTCATGTTATTTTATTCATTTTTATCACCTATTTGTTCTTCTCGCTCAGTCTGTTAATTATACAAACTCAAAGAAATAATTCCTACAGAGTCTATGTTCCTGCGGGAGAGACAGGATGTTTCAAAAATTTTTAGGTTCATGTATTACCACTTTGGTAATACATTTACTTTTCATTTGAAGAAAAAACACTTCTTTCTCCTTTCGCTTTTACATTCTCAAGAACTTCTTACAGATGTTGGTCATGCCTGTGAACTATCTCATTTCATCAACTCCATATACAGTCTCCTTGTTAGCAAATTCTGCTTTTTAGCAACTCTTGGATAATTTTGTCAATTTCATTCTATTAAAAGAAAGTATCTAGAAAAATTTGCTTCGGTTTTGATTAACCAACTCAGTAAACACGTGATGGAGAGAGGCTTTTAAAAGCAAGGAACCGGGGATCCCTGGGTGGCTCAGCAGTTTGGTGTCTGCCTTTGGCCCAGGGTGTGATCCTGGAATCCCACATTGGGCTCCCTGCATGGAGCCTGCTTCTCCCTCTGCCTGTGTCTCTGCCTCTCTCTGTGTCTCTCATGAATAAATAAATAAAAATCTTTTAAAAAAATAATAAAATAAAAGCAAGGAACCAGTGTGGAGGGTTTCGATATCTAAGAAATTTTTGTGAGTAGAAAAGTGCAATCACTTTGGTTTCGAAATTAATATTTATTTTATTGAAGTGACCGATTTAAAAACTCAGTTTGGGGGCACCTGGGTGGCACGTCTCAGGTCATGATCCCAGGGTCCTGGGATCAGTTCAGATTTTTTTAGGTCCACTAAAAATGTATTTTATCTATAGACTCTAATAAGGTAACAGTTGCCTTTACCTTTCCTTGATTAATGTTTGATTAACTCAAATTTAACTGACTGTATCTCCATAAACAGACTCACATACAACTTAATGAATAACAACCTCATATATTTTTATTAAAGTGTGTTTTTATTTTTAATATGTTTTGCTCCCCTTTAAGTACCTCACATGCATATTTACAACCCTAGCAAAATATTCTCAAGTTATTAATTTTTGTAAAGCAAATAAATTGGAGAAATCTCAAGTTCTCTTAAATACTCCAGTTACTTTTTGAACTTAGTCAAATGATCTTACACCTTAAAGCTTAATAATCAGAAGTCTAAAATCAGTTGATTCAATTTAAATTGAAAGCCCAAGTGTAATCTCTCAGATTCTCTAATTTACCAAAATCTCTTTAATATTTCAAACATAACAAATACATAAGATTATCTCAATGATTCAAAATTCATTCATACACATTAAAGTTATAACATTGTCAGATTAATTTATTTCTCTATTTGAATTCTAAATTTTTCTAGGGATTCTTTATCAGATTTTTGAGTCTGAGACTCAGTGCCTAGGATATATATTTTTGGGTAATTTTTATCAACATCTTGGATGGGTTCTCAGTCCCTTTCAGAGTCATTATAACAAGAGAGTTTAAATCCAAGCCCTTCTGGGCAGCCCTGGTGGTGCAGTGGTTTGGCGCCGCCTGCAGCCCAGGGTGTGATCCTGGGTACCCAGGATCAAGTCCCACGTCGGGCTCCTTGCATGGAGCCTGCTTCTCCCTCTCCCTTTGTCTCTGCCTCTCTCTGTGTGTCTCTCATGAATAAATAAATAAAATCCTTAAGAAAAAAATCCAAGCCCTTCTGATAGGATTGATTTTCCCAGGTTCAAATTAAAATTTCAACTTTATGTCTGATTTTTGTAAACCAAATTTCTTAAAATTCTTGCTATCCGCTTCATTAATGTCTTCATGGGTCATTCAATTCTGTACTTTCTTCAGATTGTTCCTGGGTTCTGCTCATCTCTTATATCTTCATCAGGCTCTGTCATAACACCCAATTGGATAACAAGTTTATATATGTGCACCTTTTGTATGTAAATATGAAAATGTCCATATATTATGTATACTTAATGAATGTATATAACACTGAATTATCAACAATTTTCCTAGTCACATAAGCTCATCCAAACTTAAGTAACCACTCTATATGCCCAATTATTATGAAAAGATCATGTGTACTGCTCAGTACATGTATTTTAAAGTCTAATATCTTCATGATGTACTTCCTTGAAACTTTCTTCTGCTAAGTAGAAACTCAACATTATGAGTGTTAAACTTGCTGCTTAAGCTTTTTTTAACACTCTGTGCTTATATCTAAGTAGCCATTGTGCTATATTATAATTGTTTTGGTTTTGTTTTAATATAGTTGACATACAATGTTACATTATTTTCAGGGTACAGCATAGTGATTGAACTTCTCTATACCTTATGCTATGCTCACCACAAGTGTAGCTACCATCTGTTACCATACAACACTATGACAATTCATTGACTATATTCCTTATTTTGTACCTTTTATTCTCATGACTTATGCATTGCATAACTGAAAGCCTAGATCTCCCATTTCTCTTCACCCATTTTGCCCCTTTCTCCACCCCCATCTCTCTGGCAACCATTAGTTTGTCTGATACATAGGTCTGATTCTACTTTTTGTTTGTTTATTCATTTGTTTTCTTTTTAAACTTCATATATAAGTGAAATCATATGGTATTTGTCTTTCTCTGTCTGACTTATTTCACTTAGCATAGTACCTCCTAGGTCCATTCATGTTTTGCAAATGGAAAGATCTCATCCTTTTTTATGGCTTCATAATATCCCATTATGAATAGTGTATCTTCCTTATCCATCCATCTGTTGATGGATCCTTAGGCTGCATCCATATCTTGGCTATTGTAAATAATGCTACAATAAACATAGGGTTGCATATATCTTTTTGAATCAGTGTTTGCCACGTGGCGCATTCTGATAAGAGATGAAACAATTACTCAGAGTCCAGTATCTTGGAACAAAGAGAGGCCCAAAGAGGCTTCACCATCAGGCACTGCCAAGAAGCACAGGTGCCGAGGGGAAGCCCCGAGTCCAGTTGGCTCTCGGGTTTATTATTGTAGAATGTAAAATAAGTGGAAGCAAGGAAGGAAAAACAGCTCAAGAAACCAATCACATGAGGGGCAGCAGGGACCTGCCTAAGTGACTGTCCACACAGGTCTCAAAGGAGCATTAACTAAGGGCCAGCGGGGGATGGGAGAACTGACCTCAGCAAGCCTGTCTATCCACCAACATTGCTGTTTTCATCATGTACTCTTTTCAGTATGGACCGATGGCAGGGATAATTGTCTTTTGCCACATGCATAAAGTTGTTGCATTAGGCATATCCCTGTTATTGTTTCTTTTACCCACTGAGGTCTTGCTCTCCCTTCATTTTCTTTGGGCAAATACCCAATAGTGGAATCATTGGATCATATGGTATTTCTAATTTTAATTGTAATTAAATCTAGTGTAATCTAGTTTTTCCACAGACTGTGAGCTCCTTGAGGATAGGGAGCATGGCTTTTTCTCATTTTTTGTTGTGGTAAAATATACATCATACAAAATTGACCATTTTAGCCATTTTTAAATGCATAATTCAGTGGCATTAAGTATACTCACAAGGGGACGTGACTTTTGGGCAGCCTGGGTGGTTCAGTGGTTTAGCGCCGCCTTCAGCCCAGGGCCTGATTCTGGAGACTTGGGATCGAGTCCCATGTCAAGCTCCTGCATGGATCCTGCTTCTCCCTCTGCCTCTGTCTCTGTATCTGTCTCTGTCTCTGTGTCTCTCATGAATAAATAAATAAATAATCTTTTAAAAAATTTTAAAAAGGGGGACATGACTTTTATATATATCGGTAGTCTCAGTTTCTGGCAAAGTACCTGGCCCATAAAGGGGCCTGATAACCTGATAAACATTTGTTGGACAAGCTACTGATTGAATGAGTAAGTAAATAAATGAATGAGTTGATGTTTTATAACTATATATTAAATAGTCTATATGAATTAATATATATATATAATTTCCTATTTTGAAGCCAAGTTTAACAGACACAATGAAAATGGCTACATTTGATCCTAAAATGGACATAAACCCTATGTCTGACATCGCAACAGGTATTAAATTAAGAAGACTACAGAAGAAGGTCAAGCACATCCTATTTCACTGGCTGGATTACTACAGATTTGCATTGGGTCAGTTATGGAATCCATTTTATTGCTCCATATAACCTGTTCCCATCATTCAGGCTTCCAGAAGATCAACATTCGAATGCTTCTTCCTTCCAAAGTTCCCAAGGTAGTGAGTTTGTAAACTGAGAAGCAGTATACATATAGATTCTTATCATGAATCTAGGTGATTAGCCATAGCAAAAATATCTAAGGAGATGACTTTAATTTCATTTCCTTTCTCTTTTTGGAGAAGATAATCAGTTGGAACACTTACGTGTTTTCATAAGGGAAGGTACTTTCATATTCATATTTTAGATCAGAAAATACTCTTACCCCTCAACCACCATGGTTCAGTCTCTGCATCAAAACCTCAGTCCTTGCTAATGCCTTTTGTTCATTTGCCGTGTTGAGAAGAAACCTATGTACTCCATTAGAATGTGCTATTGCAATGTCAACTCACAGCTCATGTTTGATTATAGAGCCCATCAGTTTCAGGTCATGGCTGATTCTCATATTCAGTTTCTATAAAGTCTCCACACACACTGAATTAGTCAATATTGAACCAGTGCTCCTAGGAGAAATGCAGGGTGAAGTTCCTCTGAGCCTCTGGTCACAGTATTTTTGTCAGCCTATAAATATGTAACTTTATTTTATGTGTTTCTATCTGAAGACATCTTTTTTATATATATTGTTAACACATTAACATTGAACTGATGGCCAATAGCACTATAACTCATGCTTGAACTAAGCCTATTTAACACCTATATTTTCTCTGTACGGACCTTCACAGCCTTCTTGCACTTTGGGATGCTAGACAGCACTTCAGCACTACACTTGAAGTCCATTTTAAACAGCAAAATCACCAACAAACAGCACAAAGATGCAAACATTTTGGCACTGAATAGACCACATTAAGGACACTTGCATATAGCATGAGAGTGGAAGCAAGAAGGCAGAGCATCTCCTTGTTCAACCTCAACTGGGAAAATGCAAGTTGCAACTTAAATTTTTCATAGCTCCACACATCTACAAGTGACCATGGAAGTGCTGCAGATATTGACTTAGGGTTACAAATAAACTGTAGTGAATAGGCAAATTCACAAGAACAGAATCTGCAAATAATCTCCAAAAAAGCAAGCTTCTCCACTTGAGGAAGTAATTTGCTACTCATTATGGCATACTGTAGAGTATTCCAAAGGATTTGCCACAGATGTTTTTACACAAGAACTAAGAAATGGAAATCCTTAGTCCTCCAGGCAGTGGCTAAGTAGGGGTGATTGAATCCCCAGGATAGCTGATTCCACCTGCAAGCAGCCTAGTGTGCCATACCAATACATCATGTTTTCTTTTTTTATATCAGATTTTCTATGATAAGAATCTGTATGTATAGGGGTTGACAGTTTACAGTTTCTATGTGATTGAAGAAAAAAAAGTCTAGGAAGCATTGATCTGTTGCATGGTCAAAGCACAGTCTTCAGAGTTAAACAGACTGGTTGAAAGCCTGGTTCTGCCTCGTTCTAGTTGAGTGATCATGGACTTGTCTGTGATATCATGAAAATAAGAGTACTCACCTCAGGAGGGCACTTACTTCAGTTGGATAACGCATTTAAAGTGTTTGGCACATTACTTGGCATAAGATAAGCACAGACAATCAAACTCCCATGGATTAGATTCGTTGATAACCTAGAAATTTTCTATATAGATGCTCTGTATCCCCCAGGCAACCAAGAATTGCACTTAAAATAAGAGAACCAATAGAAAGGCACTTCTGAAAATGGGTGAAGGAGCATCCAGATTAGTGCAGCCAACTTAACCCATACGGCTCAATCTATAGATACCATGGTCCACCAAAGGTTTTCAGTGATGTATATTCTGTTTACATTTCAGGAATAGAATCCCTACACATTGGCAAAATGCCCAACGTTCCAAAAAAAGTGATCAGAAAACAAAAAGTCTCATCAGCAAGATTTCCTCTGCAACAAAGTGCAGAGGGAAAAGATGAGAATAAGGAGTATCTTCGATACCGGAATACCTTCCTAAAACTGAAAGGTGTCTTTAATCCTGTGCCTCTCTTTCACATCCCGAAGACCCCAGTCAGAGATCAGTCCTTCAGGTACCAGCCTCTTTTGTCTTAATAATTCCTAGTACAGTTTATATTTGAAAGAGCTTCAGATGGATGTCTCATTCAGCTCTCCTCCAAATGCTGAGCAAGACATGTGACGTTGCTTCACACAAGACTTCTAAGTAGGGTGGGCTAAGGTGTTGCCACTTATGTGCTACCAATGAAATATTTTTCCTAAAAGTGGGACAAATTTATATGCCTAGATTCAAGCATTTGAATTCTCCCCACTCTACTTCCTAAGAGGAATTCGAATCAAGAATCAGGAATCAGATTTAGTTTGTTTTCATCTCTTTGGCGAGCACATATTTGAAACCTGACCATATATTTGGGCTGAAGTACTCCTGACTCTGGTAACAGTAAGTGAGGGCCAGGAGTTATTGCTTCCCTTGCCTTCTCCCACAGTTCTCCTGAGAAAAAAGTGCCCTTGTTTTCTTTACCAGCATAAAAAGCCAAGTTCTCTATGCATTTGTATCTCTGAGACAAGTTACCAAACAGAGATGCTTCCCACCTCAGGTGGAAAAGGCCCAGATGTCACCTCCATCCAGGTCTGGGTGGCAGGGGGTAGTGTAGTGGGTATCCAAGGGGTAGGTTGTCTCTACACTGGAATCTTACACAGGGTGGCAGCATTTGGAAGCTACAAAAGAAGCTTTGCCCCCTCTCACCACTAGTACTACAAGCCAGTTGGGCAGACATCTGCTAAGACCCCTAGGAACAGAGAATCTCTAAAGCTCCCAATCCTAATATTGCTTCAGTAACATTATTGAAAACAGTAAATTTAAACAAAAGTGGCAAATGTCATAAAGGAAATGTTTCTTGTATTTAAAGCATAGGCAGGAGTGCCTGAGTGGTTTAGTTTAAGTGTCTGCCTTTGGCTCAGGTCATAGTCCTGGGATCCAGCCTCACATCCTGAGCAGGAAGCCTGCTTTTCTCTGTCTCCCTCTGCCCCTTCCCCTGCTCATGCTCACTCTCTCTCTGCTCTTCTCTCTCTCTCTCTCTCTCAAATAAATAAACAAAATCTTTTAAAAAAGAATAAAGCATTGGCAGCAGACTTTATAAATGCCACTAAACAAGCAGTCCTATCAGATACCTGGTCACAAAATGAATTCATTCAACCAAAAACTGTCATTGTTGCCTACAGGCAGGTGGGCAATCAATTAGCAATACAAAGACTTGGTCCCTGTCCTCTGAAGACTTCAAAGTATTCATGTATACCATTAATCAATGGAAACTAAGAAAGAAAGCAGAGAGATAGAATGCTGAAGGAATTTTATGGAAGGAGAGATTTTTTTTTAGAAAAATTTTTTTTCCAGGAGCCTTTGAATAGGGTCTGGAATGACTGGGAGAACTGGGATATGCAAGTATGGAGAGATGATACTCCAGGGGGCAAGATGCGTAATAAGGATGGTGATGGTACTAATAATGTCAAGGATAGTTAACATCAAAAAAAAAAAAAAGGATAGTTAACATCTACTGAATGTTCCCTATACACTCAGTACAATGCAAAACACTGTACTTGCAGGATTTAATTTAATCCTCATGACACACCTCAGGAGTACAATTATAATTAATCCCATGCTGCCCTCTCCACCCCACAAAGACACAGCTAGTGAGCAGAGCAGGGATTTATGCAAAGGCATATAGAGGGGACAGTGCAGGCAAATTGGAGGAATGCTAAGCAGTTGGGTTTTGCTGGTGCTTAGGTTATGGAAGATAGGATAAGCAGGATTGGGGCCAGATCATGGGTCCAAGTAGCAAAATTAATCAAATCCTTTAAAATTCATAGTGATGCAGCAAGCAAACACTGTGTAAGGTAGGCCTAAGACATTTATTCAGACTTTCAAATTTCCTGTGAGAAGTGAAAACCCAGTCATTTCACATTTGTATAATTATCTAATAATAATGTAGAATTATCTTTGTGGCTTGGTTATATGTTGCAATGACATCTGAAGAGATTGATACTAATTCAATCAGGGCTCCATTTATTGCTATAAAAACTTAATGGAAAATTTTATTTTATTTTTAATGGAAACTTTTAAATCTGCAATTGTACTCTAAATCTTGAAATAAGCATAAAGGCTTAAGCACCACGCATGAGAAAATCCTAAGTGCAACACTTCTTTTTTTTTTTTTAAAGATTTTATTTATTTATTCATAGACACACAGAGAGAGAGAGGCAGAGACACAGGCAGAAGGAGAAGCAGGCTCCATGCAGGGAGCCGGATGTGGGACTTGATCCCGGGTCTCCAGGATCACACCCCAGGCTGCAGGCAGCTCCAAACCGCTGCACCACTGGGGCTGCCCAAGTGCAACACTTCTTCATATGATTTCCATGCTTTAGTTCAATTTCCAGCTAAATCTTGTACATGAAGGACAGGCTGGCTGACACCTGACAGAGGGAAAACAGCATAACATCCTGATAACACACTAGCAAATTATATTAGCTATGATATTTCAGTAATTACGTCCCTCTCTAAGCCTCTGTTTCTCTATCCATAGAATGGGGATAATAATACCTACTTCACAAGACTATGAAAGAATTAAATAGGATGAAGCAGGGATCCCTGGGTGGTGCAGTGGTTTGGCGCCTGCCTTTGGCCCAGGGCGCGATCCTGGAGACCCGGGATGGAATCCCACGTTGGGTTCCCGGTGCATGGAGCCTGCTTCTCCCTCTGCCTGTGTCTCTGCCTCTCTCTCTTTCTCTCTGTGTGTGACTAGCATAAATTAAAAAAAAAAGGTGGGAGAAAGGATGTATTAATACTAGCACACTTATGAATTGTCACCATAGACCTCACACTGATTTTACTTCTTTTGTCAAATGGCACTTATATAGACAGGGCTTGAAGTAAGTTCTGGAGCTGCAAACCACGTTTATTTATAGACTGCTATAGCTTTAGCAGCATTCTGTACAAAATACTGTATTATGCTGCACAGACACTATTCCACTCACATTTTCTGAGATGAACCTGGGCTCTTAAAATTCTATTCTATTACTCTTTGAAGCAAGTTGCATACTTCCTGGTAGGATGGATGGATCTGTAGACGAAGGGATATTTCAACTTACACCTGTAATTCAGCCCCACCAATAATGACTGTGAAACATTGCACAGAATATGGCACCTTGCTTGTGCTTAATAGGAGAAATTGGAACTAAATGTGACTACATGGGGACTTTATAGGTTTATTGGCTGACCTACAGCTATACCTTAGCGTGTTTGTACACTTGTTCATTTCTTTCAGCATTTTAGGACATCCAAACATTATTACACTACCAGCATTTTCCTGTGCATTAACCTCTGCATTGAAAACTTAAACTGTATAAATACATGCATTCAAAACATTTAGATGGATATATTTTTTTGTATGTTTACTGCCCTTCTCAGCTTTATTCAATACACTTGCATTTTAAGGGTTGCATTGGCCATTTTAACTTCCAATGTGTATCATGATAGAAGGTGCTGCCTTACTGGAGTGAACGGAAAGCAAAGTTACCATATTGAGGGCCCGTAGACCATGTGCTAGAAATAAATCTGTTCAGTCCTTTAAGAATTAGGTCGGTGGGCTAGGCAAAACAGAAATAAACTTTTTTAAAAGCAAAGGGAATTGCTAAGAATTACCTCTTAATATATAGATGGATATAGAGTCCATCTCAATTTCTTATGCACACAATAAAATAGCATATATCTCTCATTAACAGGCTGGCTTATACTAACTGCCTTACTTAGGGGCATTATGGGATGTGGTAGACAGTGCTAAAAACTTGATATGCTTCATCCTATTTTTTTTAAATTTATTTATTTATGATAGCCAGAGAGAGAGAGAGAGAGAGAGGCAGAGACACAGGCAGAGGGAGAAGCAGGCTCCATGCACCGGGAGCCCAATGTGGGATTCCATCCCGGGTCTCCAGGATCGCGCCCTGGGCCAAAGGCAGGCGCCAAACCGCTGCACCACCCAGGGATCCCTGCTTCATCCTATTTAATTCTTTCATAGTCTTGTGAAGTAGGTATTATTATCCCCATTCTATGGATAGAGAAACAGAGGCTTAGAGAGGGACGTAATTACTGAAATATCATAGCTAATATAATTTGCTAGTGTGTTATCAGGATGTTATGCTGTTTTCCCTCTGTCAGGTGTCAGCCAGCCTGTCCTTCATGTACAAGATTTAGCTGGAAATTGAACTAAAGCATGGAAATCATATGAAGAAGTGTTGCACTTGGGCAGCCCCAGTGGCGCAGCGGTTTGGAGCTGCCTGCAGCCTGGGGTGTGATTTTTTTTTGAGAAAGAGAGAAGGAAAGGGAAAGAGCCCTGCATAGGGCTCCAGGCTGAGCACCCAGTCTGCTTAGGATTCTCTCTTTTCCCTTTTTAGATTTGCCCTATTATTTTAATTTTGTCTAGATGGAATCCATATTTTGACTATTGATTTTGTGGATTGTCTTTGTTAGAATTACCTTTCTTGGTATGTTTTGGAATTTTGGATTATAGGCTCATTTGAATGGAAAGTTTTTCCTCTCTCTTTCTGTGTTGTAGTGTGTCTCTGTGTATTGAGTGTGCACTGAGTGTGTATGTTGAGTGTGTGTGTCTGTTTACCTCTCCCTGCCTAGTGGGTTTTCAGTTGCCACCACCCAGAACCCTGAGGCTTACTTTCAGAATCACGTCCAGTAATGATGGGGTTGGTGTCCTGCCCCAAGAATATTAGGAATACTGCAGACCAAGTCTCCAGGCAGGCAAGCAGCTTAATTTAGTCCTGGTTGTTAGGCACAGTAGTTGATAGACTGGAATTACTCAGGGATGCTCAGAATGCCTCTTCAGAAGCCCTGATGTTGGTATGCTCTGTATTTACCTGTGATAGGTTTCTGTAGACAAGGGTGGGGATGAAAGAGTAAGTGGCCATGGGAAAAGAAGGTGTTACTGGGGCTGGGACTTTTAGCAGCCTGTTCTTTACAGGATAGAGATCAGTACCTTAATTCCAAACACGTCTGATTTATTCAATGGTAACTCCCTGCATCCTGCTCTCAGAGCTCTCTGCTACTGTCTTGCCACTGGCAAAGGTGGTATTGTTAGGTCTCTTGTTACTCTTTACCATTCGTATTGTGGACCAGATCATACGTGCTAAAAGTTGGAGTTTTTTAAAATTATGTGCTCTTTAGGGTATAAGATTGCTAACTCTAGAAATAGCATTAGTGCATTTGAAGAGGAAAAATAAAGTGGAAGGGGGATCCCTGGGTGGCACAGCGGTTTGGCGCCTGCCTTTGGCCCAGGGCACAATCCTGGAGACCCGGGATCGAATCCCACATCGGGCTCCCGGTGCATGGAGCCTGCTTCTCCCTCTGCCTGTGTCTCTGCCTCTCTCTCTTTCTCTCTCTGTGACTATCATAAATAAATAAAAATTTAAAAAAAATTAAAAAAAAAGTGGAAGGATTTGCTCTACAAGACTTTAAGACCTTTTATTTATTTATTTTTAAATTTTCAAAAAGATTTTGTTTATTTATTCATGAGAGATAGAGAGGCAAAGACATAGGCAGAGGGAGAAGCAGGCTCCCTGCATGGAGCCTGATGTGAGACTTGATCCTGGAACTCTGGGATCACGCCCAGAGCCCATGGCAGACGCTCAACAGCTGAGCCACCCAGGCATCCCTATTTATTTATTTTTAAAGTTTTTATTTATTCATTCATGAGAGACACAGAGAGAGGCAGAGACATAGGCAGAGGAAGAAGCAGGCTCCCTTTAATGAACCTGATGTGGGACCTGAGCCAAAGGCAGATGCCTAACCACTGAGCCACCCAGGCATCCCAAGACCTTATAGGAAGTAATAGTAACTAAGATAGTGTGGTATTGGCACAGGCTAGTTAGACCAATGGAACAGAATAGAAAGCCCCAATCAGACCCAGACAATATGGAAATTTGATACACAACAGAAATAGCAATACAAACCAGTGTGGAAATCAATGGTGGTGGGACAACTGGTTATTTATCTACCTACCTATCTTAGATTTCTACTTCCCATCATAAGTTGCCAGTAAATTAAAGAGCTGAATATAAAATTCCAAATAATATAATATTTAGAAGAAAACATAAGGAGAATATTTTTATCGTCTTGAGATAGAAAATAAATTCGTAAATCAAACACACACACAAAAAACAAAGATAAGGGAGAGAGTTGATAAGTTTAACTACATTAAAATAAAAATCTTGGGCAGCCCCGGTGGCTTAGTGGTTTGGCGCCGCCTTCAGCCCAGGGTGTGATCCTGGAGACCCAGGATCGAGTCCCACGTCGGGCATCCCTGCATGGAGCCTGCTTCTCCCTCTCCCTCTGCCTGTGTGTGCGCCTCTCTCTCTCTCTCTCTCTCTCTCTCTCTCTCTCTCTTATGAATAAATAAATAAAATCTTTAAAAAAATAAAATAAAATAAAAATCTTATATACAAAAGAAGGAAATACACAAAAATCTCATTGCAACAGTTTGTAATAGTTCAAAATAGGAAACTAACAGAGCCCTGGGAGGGGGGTGGCAAAACTCACAGTTTTGGCTCAGGTCATGATCTCATGGGTGGTGGGATGGAGGCCTGCGTTGGGCCCTGCACTCAGCAGAGAGTCTGCTTAGGATTCTCTCTCTCCCTCTCATCTTACCCCTGTCCCCACTCATGCTCACTCCCTTTCTTTCTAAAATAAGTAAATAAATCTTAAAAAAAAAAAAAAAAGAAAAAGAAAAAGGAAACTACCTAAATTTCCATAACCAAGAGTTTGTAGGAATTTTTTTGTTGTGGACAACTACCATTTGTTTTTTTGACCATCCAGCATGTGAACCCACTTTCCATGTCTGGGGGCTCCTCTACTTGCCAAGACAGCATGCACTGCCACTATAGATGACAAAAATGTCAGATTCTTGCTTTCCCAGTCCCCTCTGAAACTAGGGCCCAGGCACATGACCCACATGCCACCAGTCCTATGAGCCTGCCCCAGATTTTCATGCAGCTGCAGGGGTTGCCCAAACCCCGTACGCAGGGAGGGCTGTCAGTTCCACGTGGCTCCAAGAGGCCGTGGTGGTGTGGTTCTCAAGGCAGTGTTCCAGGTCAGCAGGGCCTGCAGGGCAAGCTCCAGAGTCCGCCCAGTAGCTGTGGCTGTGACATCCCAGGTGGACAAGTTTTACAGCACGATTTGGGACACTTTCCCTGTCAGTGGACTTTCCCTGTCAGTGGACCCTGCAAGCCTGAGTCTTCCACCTTTCCAAAGATTTTCTGAGTTCTTTAATACATTTCTTTGGTTTTGTTTGTTTGCTTAAATTAGCCAGTTTGTTTCTCTTGCCCTCAGCTAAAAACCTTAACCCTGATAGATTATGAATTATGACATATTTTTGTGTAACATACATGAGAATGGCATACATCAAAATCAGGGTAAAAGTTGTGTGAAATCAGGAGGAGTCCTTGGGGCTGTAAGTTGTATCTGAAATTATACTAATGAAAAAATATATATATAGCAAATGTAGTAAAATACTAAAATTTGATAAAGCTGGGTGGTGTGTACAAAGCATTTTTCCTTCTTATTCTTCTCTTTTTAATAAAAAACCACATGCACACACTGACACACACACATATAAACTTTTACTATAATGAATACAGAACTACTCAGAATCTGAAGGTTTAGAACAACAATATTCTACTGAAATCATTTGCCTCTCTTTCCAAAAAAGGAGATCCATTACTGAGTTGGCCTGTATCTAAATTCACTAATAAACATTATAACAAGAAAGGGAGAAAAAAAGATGTTGAAAATGGGTCTAGTAGAGCATGAAAGTGAGAACTGAAATAACATATTTACATATGTGGGTTTTATTACAAGGAAATATATAATCATCATTTCTCAGAAATGTGCTCCTACGAAGGGGAGGCACCAAGACATTTTGAAAAGCACAACTTCAACAAACATAAGTGGGCATTTATCACATTCACTAAGTTCCTCAGGTTCAGCATAAAGGAAATGAAGCCAATAATGAATATTCTAATGATAATAAAAAATACTCTCCTGGCTATCCAGTAATGCTAGTTTTAAGTTAATTAAAATATCCTATATAACAAATTTCAGCATCATATAAATATTCTTTAAGTAATTAAAATTCACAAAGTTTGGTTTTATAAGCCTCATAACTGCCCTAGACGTTTTGTGGAAACATGAACTTATCCCTACATTACAGATGTTAATACTGAGGCATAAAGAAGTCAGAAGATTTACATCATGTTGAGAGTTAGTGGATAGAAGACAGATCCAAATTTAGCTTTCTGATTTCCATTCTGGCTATTGGGTTACATGGTTTATCCAGTTTATTAATAGACATAAGTCGGCTCAAAAGTATGCTACAGGTGTTTCACCTCCAGTCAGTGAAAGAGCAGCATTGTAATAGAAAAAGATACACATGGGTTCAAATTCTAGCTCTGTCATTTACTACCTGTGTCTTTAGTCAAATTATTGAATTTCCCAAGCCTTGGTTTTCCCATTTTTGAGACAGAATAGAGTATCTTACAAACCAGCCTCAATGCATTCTTCTTGCATTTGTTAAACTGCAATTAACATGCTAAGCCTCATTCTTACTGGCCAATTGTTTGCAATCATTTGGTTTAATTAAGTCCTTTGAACACATAGCTTATGTTTGTTTCAGAGCCATAGGTGCTCATGTAACTGAAAAGGTTTACATTTAACTCCCTTAGTGTGTTGACAAGTATTTTAGCATGTTGGCACATAAAGTTCTGTCCAGAATTAAATTTAAATGCTTTACCAAAGTAGCCACTTTGGTTCCTTTTAAGGTGATATTTTGTCTGTCCTTTTAGTTCTCTCTCTTTAAGATTTATTTATTTATTTGAGAAAGAGAGCACATGCATGCATGCATGCACAAGCAGACTTCTGGCTGAGCGCAGAGCCTGATATGGAGCTCAATCCCAGGACCCCAAGATCTGAGCCAAAATTAAGAGTCGGATGCTTAATTGACTGAGCCATCCAGGGTCCCCTGTCCTTACAGTTTTTAAATGTGATTTCTAACCATTATATTTCTAGGCTTCCTCCTCCTTCCATTGAGAGCAAGGATGGACGGTTTTCTTCCCAGTTGCTTTGTCCTGTGGTCCTCAGGAGGACATTGTGTGGGAAGGAAGGGGGCACATGCCAATGTAGCACTTACAGCATCCCTGAAGTGACAGACCTGGAGTATGATCACCTTATAAGCAACCAGCTGTCCTCCATGGATCAGGTCATTATAGTCCATGTGTTCTCAGCTAATGAAACGGACAAGACTATAATAGAAATGGCCAAAGTGTATAGGAAACTGAACAGATTCAAAAGCATGCCTTGCATTCAGGTGAGTGTCATGTGTATTAAGACAAACCAAACCGTGAATAATGTTACATCTTAATACATTTCCTCAGCCACACAAAGGGAGGAATTTCTCCCCTGCTTTTTAAATTGTGGTATGACCTTCAGCCAGTAAACCACCTGCCTCCCACCCCTGGTAACCACTTTTCTGACTTCCTTCACCATAAATTAGTTTTGTCTATTTTGATTTTCATATGCATGGAATTACAGTGTATGCATTTTGAAATACACAGTATGTTTTTATGCTTATTTTGCCAGAGAATAGGAATGGTAAATACCAGGCATGCCAGCATCCTCCTATCCTGCATCCCTGACAGATATTGCTAATCCTGCCTTCTTTTCAACCGAGCCTAGAGTGGGCCCTAAACTCTTTTCCCTAACTGCACAGCCCACAGCCACTACCCAGCTGATCTGAGTCGTAATTCTTTTTTTTTTTTTTTAAGATTTTATTTATTTATTCATGAGAGAGAGAGAGAGAGCCAGAGACACAGGCAGAGGGAGAAGCAGGCTCCATACAGGGAGCCTGATGTGGGACTCGATCCTGGGAATCCAGGATCACACCTGGGCCAAAGGCAGGCGCTCAACTGCTAAGCCACCCAGGCGTCCCATGAGTCATAACTCATAAAGTCTTTTCCACATGATAGCCTTTACCCTCAATACATCTAATGAGTATTCTCTGAGTCTTGTGTATTCTATCCATCACTGTGACATTTTTTCCTATTCGTGCCTTTTTTCCGATCCCACTGCTTCTGCTTATTTCAGGCCTTCATCACCTCCCGTCTGATTCTCTCCAGTGGCTTCTCTGACGAGTTTTCCTGCTTCTGGTCTTGGCACCTCTGATATTTGCTATACATTGCTGGGTGTTCTTTTTAACATGTGGACACGACTGCATCATTCTCCTGCTTACGGGAGATTGCTTACTAAAGATTCTCATGAGACTCTTCTCAGGACTTTGCTTCGGGCCAAGTTCACATTCCTTAGTGTGACACTGAGGACCACTTTCCAGTGGGGCTCTTCCCACCCTGACTGTTCAGTTCCCTGTCCCAACCCCAGTGATAGCCACAGGGGATATATTAAAGAACCTTTGCCGAGTCCAGGTTTTGTTCCCCATTAGGTGGAAGCTGAGGGCTTGGGCCATGTTGCCCCTTGCAGAGCTGCTTCCACTTAGTGGCTTTTTAAGATGTTTTGCCTTAAATAGCCCTGAGCTTCTTTTGAAGGATGTTACATTATATTCTCCAGGCCTACTGTCCCCTATATGAAGCCTGATGTGAAAATTGTCTTTCTGAATGAGAAGCTTTACTTCCCATGAGGATCCAGTATGTTTCCTCTTCCCCAGTAATGAGATTTTTGGTGCCCAACTGGGTTTCTCTTTTCACTTTGCCTGAAAGTACAAAGTTTCAAACTGAATTATGACAATAGAGTAAAAACTTATGGACCATTTATCTGAAATCCATTTCTTCTTTTAGATCCAGAGCTTCTGTTGATGCTGAAATTTTCTCATTGTATTTTTTTTAATTTGTAATTTTCTCTCATACTATTCTTACTTCCTATAAACCACCTCCAATATTTTGCTAAAAAGGCAGAATATAAACAAATTTAAAATTTAAGTTTTGGTGAAGGAAATATTATTTCGTCTAGCAGAATTGATAGGGAGCTTGCAGCAAAGCGACATGTCGTTTTGTAACTCTGAAGGGTGAAGAGAGAGGTTGCAGGTATAATTGGCTGGGTACGCCAGGGTACCCAAGATTCTTTTTCAGACTATAAAAATGAAGAGAATGTTCTCATATGAGAGACCCTAAAAGGAATACAAATAAGAATGGAGAAGATTGTAAAACATGTAAAATTTACTGAAGAACTCCAGTTTTCATCAAAAGGGTTGCCTGGTCAGACCAGGGTCTTGGCTCCCTCTTCATTCTCTTTCATTCCACCTAACCAGGGAACCGTGAGGCCTGTGTGATGCTGAAATTGTTAAGCTTGGGCCACTTGGAAGCTAGATAGCAATGAGAATTCACCAGATACTCTGGTGGAAGCATGAAGAGTGTAGACAAAGCTCCTAGAAGGTAGCCTGAGCCACAGAAGATATGGGGTGGGTTCGGAGAGCATGGAAAGTGCTGGTTCTGGAGCACTGGCAGCCCCACCCTTTCAGTTTGCTCTGAACCTAGATTCCTCTCCCCACTGCTGGAAACTTCTTGATGGCAGGACCCTGTCTTGCTTACCATTAGAACCCCAGTGCTCGTCCCAGGGCCTCGTACATGGTTAACATCCTTTTTTTTTTTTAAATTTATTTTTATTTATTTATTTATTTATTTTATGGTTAACTTCTTAAATGTTGGGGCAGCCCTGGTGGCGCAGCGGTTTGGTGCCACCTGCAGCCTTGGGTGTGATCCTGGAGACTCAGGATCAAGTCCCACATCGGGCTCCCTGCATGTAGCCTGCTTCCCCCTCTCCCTGTGTCTCTGCCTCTCTCTCTGTGTGTGTCTATGAATAAATAAATAAAATCTTAAAAAAATCTTAAATGTTATTTGTCAAGTGAATAAATGAACCAACAAATGAATGAATGTTTCTTTAGCTTGAAGGCCAGATATGAGGGTATATGGTCACTGCTGATCCTTTCCTGGTTTCATGGGAGGTGCTCTGAGACTGTGGGCTTGTGGATGGAACTAAGTCTCCCCTGAAGAGACAGACAAGCTGAATGGATGAGAGAACAGGACCATAGTCTGGAAGAGTTCAACTCCTCACTGGAAAGACAATAATGGGCATCAAATCCCAAGAGCTCTGATATACTTGGTGCAGACAGTACCTGTCCTCTTCCTTCCCCCCACCATGCCTGGCATCTAATAGACACTCAGTAAATATTTGTGGAACTGATCTGAAATGGCAAAGTCAGAATAAGATCAAGAGAGCAAATATTTATTGAGTACTTACTGTGTTGTAGCTGCTATTTACCTGGAATATCATTTAATTCTCAAAAGGACGATAAATGACTGGCTCTCTGCATGTGAGTCCATTGAGCACAGGTCAATAACTAAGACAAGACAGTTAAGTCACTTGTCCAAGGTTACCCAGTCAGGAAGTGGTGGGGCTGAGATTCACACCAGGCAGTCTCACTCCAGGACCCTAGCTTTTAAGCACCATGCTATGCCATGTAGCATTGTGGAGGAGGAAAAGCAGTGGCTAAATGGGGGGCTTAGGGGTTGGTGGACAAGAGTGGAATCAAATGAGATGAATGGATTGGGAGGAACGGCTCATATCCAGCACTTCAGAAATGTGTGCTTGGGCATGTGGAGGCAGAAGGCATGGAAGGAGCTTCATGTATATCCTCAGCAGGAATTGGCAGGCCAGTACAGCTCAGAAAAGGAGCCATGCCTGGCTGAACCCTTTTAACATTGAGGGAATAGGCCCCCAATATTAATAATATCTACTTGAGGATGAAGCTTTTTGATAGCAAATTTCTGTAAATTTATTCATTCAGATAACAGACATTCACTGAGCTCCTACAACATGCTAGGTAGTGTGTTAGGAACTTGAGACAGAAAAATGAATTAGACACCGATCCTGTCCTCAAGGAAAAGACAATCCAGAGAACTGTCATGACACACAAGATGGTGAAATGAGTGCTGGGCCAGAAGTATCAACAGAACATTTAGGCAAGAAGTGGCTTGCAGGACTAGTAATACTTGTAAGACTAGTAGGAATTAACTGGGTGAATATATCCCACAAATTGCATTTTGGAAGGCATGTTGGAAACTGCGTGTTGGATGGCAAGAGGATAGTAAATTGCAGTCTGAATCTGGGAGATGGGAAATACATCAGTATGGGGGGGTGCAGTGCATTTTGAGGGAGCTAGAAGCAAAATAAAGTTAGCAGAAGCCTAACTATGAAGTTCAATAAAGAATCTGAATTGTCCTTAAAAAGGAAGAGGAGTCATTAAAGGACTTTAAGCAGATAAGTGACATGAAAAGATTTTGTTTTTTAAAAGGATCGTTTTGACAGAATGTTCCAGAAAAGATCAGAATGACAGAGAGACCTAGTATCCCATTTACCCAGGTAAGAATTGGTCCAGCAGTGGCAATGGGAGTAGAAAAGAATGCTGAGTTTGAGTAGTAGTTAGAAGCGAGACTCTGTAAGATATGATATGTTGAGGGAAGAATTTAAGATGTCTCCCAGCCTGGTGCCTGGGTGGCTCAGTCAGTTATGCGTTGCCTTTGCCTCAGGTCATGATACTAGGGTTCTGGGATTGAGCTCTGCATTGGGTTCCCTGCTCAGTGGGAAGTCTCCTTCTTCTCCTTCTGCTCCTTCTCCTGCTGATGCTCTCTCTCATTCACTCTCTGTCAAATAAATAAATAAAATATTTAAAAAATATATATCCCAGCTTCTCGCTTGCACAGTGAGAAGAAGGGCAGTACTATTTTTTGAGATGAGGAATTCAGAAGGATGAGGACAAGAAATGTCCGTTATCTATTACCATATAACATACCACCCCAAATTTACAATCCTAGAACAGCAATCATGTATTTGCTTATGACCTGCTCAGGACTTAGCAGGGATGATCTGACTGTGCTTCACACAGCATTGGCTGGGGTAGTTTGAGTACAGCTGAAGGATTCAAGAATAGCTTCATTCATATGGCTGGCAGGTAGTATTGCTGACATTTCGGAGCCAGGGGCCTCTGTTCCTCATAAGGGCCTTTCTAAAGGTTATTCAGGTTTCTTCACAATGTGGTGTCCATGTTTTGAGGAATGTTCTAAGAGGTGAAAATGGAATCTGGAGACCTCCTAAGGCCTGGCCTCAAAAGTTATGCAGTATAATACTCTTGGTCAAAGCCTATCACAGGGCCAGCCCAGATTCAAGGGTTGTGGCAGTAGACCTCCATCTCGATAGGTAGAATGGCAAAGAGCTTATGGGCATCTTGAATCCACCATAAGAATCTTTGAAGAAGGGTGCCTGGCTGGCTCAGTCAGTACTCTTGATCTCTGGTCATGAGTTTAAGATCTCTGGGCAGAGATCTTACTTAACAACAACAACAACAACAACCAAAAAAAAAAAAGAAGAAGAAGAGAAAGATGAAAAATTCATATTGGGCATGTTGAGTTGGAGGTACCTGAGAGTCATCAAAATGGATACATGGAGGGGCACCTGGGTGGCTCAGCGGTTAATCGTCTGCCTTCAGCTCAGGCTCCTTGCTGAGGAGCCTGCTTCTCCCTCTGCCTGTGTCTTTGCCTCTCTCTCTGTCTCTCATGAATAAATAAAATCTTTTTAAAAATGTACATAGAAAAGTAGGCAATTCAAGCCACAAGTCTGGTACTCAGAGGAGAGCACCAGCTTTGGAAGACATTTGGTAGACATTTGGTAGACATCATTTTCCCTTTTTGCAAGGGAGCAAATAGGCTCAGCCCAGGTGGCTCAGCAATTTAGCGCCGGCTTCAGCCTAAGGCCTGATCCTGGAGACCTGGGATTGAGTCCTACATTGGGCTCCCTGCATGGAACCTGCTTCTCCCTCTGCCTGTGTCTCTGTCTCTCTCTCTGTGTGTCTCTCATGAATAAATAAATAAAATCTTTAAAATAAATTTAAAAAGTCTTTAAAAAAAAAGAGGTCAAGAAATAGAAGAAACATGAAAATGTCCGCTGGCTTTGGCAACACAGAGGTCTTTGATAAGTATATGAAGAAGGCGTTCCTAATGGAGTGGTAGGAATAGAGTCTAGAATTGTTGGTTCAAAGATGCAACACTGCTGAATGGAGCAAGGGATTTGTTACCCGGGATTTAATGTCTTTAAAACTTTTTGCTTTTTTAGAGTTGTTCAGATCCCTTTCGAATGCTCAAATACAACATCACCTCTGCATGTAAATTTACTGGCGGCAGTTGTCCACTTCTGGTTCAAAGGCACAATGTCATTCCAGGAATATTTTTGGTATGTGCTTTGAGATACATGAATGCTTTAATCAACCTACTATGTTGTATATGTAAATGATGTTGTGGATGATGCTTGCATGACTTAGAGATTATTCATAGGGTGAACAAGAGAAAGGAGAGAATGAAGAAACAGGTAAGTTTGAATCACAACCTTCTGTGGTACCCCCTTGACAATGGGTCTTTTTATAAGGGCAGGTTATAGCTGTGGATATTCTTCTAACTGTTGGATTATCATTACAATGGCTCTAGTGAAATTAAAAATTGAATACTGTTAACACTGAGGTGATCAATCTTTGGCCTTATAAGTTAATATGGGATTATAAATGCTAAAATTTAATTCTTGCATTTAAAAAGCTTATAAACCGGGATCCCTGGGTGGCGCAGCAGTTTGGCACCTGCCTTTGGCCCAGGGCGCGATCCTGGAGACCCAGGATCGAATCCCACGTCGGGCTCCCGGTGCATGGAGCCTGCTTCTCCCTCTGCCTATGTCTCTGCCTCTCTCTCTCTCTCTCTCTCTCTCTCTCTCTCTCTGTGACTATCATAAATAAATAAAAATTAAAAAAAATAAAAAGCTTATAAACATAATTGAGGAGATAGGATACATAATACCCATATATATTTTTAAAGATTTATTTATTTATTCATAGAGAGAGAGAGAGAGGCAGAGACACAGGAGAGGGAGAAGCAGGCTCCATGCAGGGAGCCCGACATGGGACTCCCAGGTCTCCAGGATCATACCCTGGGCTGCAGGCGGCGCTAAACCACTGTGCCACCAGGGCTGCCCCATAATAGTCATATTTTAAGACTCAATAGAATAACCTCTGTGATTGAGACAGCCTGGTATGGTAGAGAAAGCATGAACTTTGAAAATCGGCAGACCTTGGTTCTACTATTTGCTTGCTGTGTGACCTTGGGCAAATTACTAAGCCTTTCTGAGCCTATTTGCTCCCTTGCAAAAAGGGAAACTGATAACCAATTTATAAAATTGTAAAAATTCAGTGAGATCATGGGCATGAAGTGCTCATTTCAATTCCTGGCACATGGTGGATAAGTATTGAATGTTAATTCCCTTCCACCAATTTTTCAATTCAGCAAATGTATATCGAATGTCTGCTCTGTGCCAAGTACAATATTGGTTCTGAGGATGCAAAAAAAAAAAAAAAAGAGCCACAGTCCCTTCTGCCATGGAACAACTAGTTCAAGGGTAGAGGGGTGCAGTCTGTGGCTTCCTGAGAGGTATGAGATGTGAGCTGAATGGTTTTCATACAGAGAGGTAAAAAGGAGAGGGAAGTTCCAGGGAGAAGGGATGTTATTATTATGGGTAAAAAAGGTAAAGGCTTAAAAAAAAAAAAAAAAAGGTAAATGCTGGGAGCACAAGGAATCTGGAGACCTGGCTTTGCTGTTTATTCATTAGTTTGAGAGAGAGAGAGAGAGAGAGAGAGCAGGCTTGGTGACCGGGGACCAGCAGGCGGAATGGGGGCAGAGGAAGGAGCAGAGAGAGAATCTCAAGCAGGTGTCATGCCCTGCGTGGAGCCTGAGGCAGGGCTCGATCTTACAACTCTGAGATCAAGACCTGAGCCAAAATCAAGAGTCTGAGTCTGATGCTTAACTAACCTCACCACCCAAGTGCCCCTAGGAACCTGATTTTTAGTCCTGGCCCTTCCTTTATAACCAACTGTATGCGTTTGGGGTGATCTCATCTGGAGGCGGAGAGGACTGGATTAGGTCAGGGGCTCTTACCACTGGCTCCTGCCTTAGCTTCATGAATAAATGATTTCTGAGCCTCATCCTAAAACAGGTAAATCGTAATTCCTGCAGATGAGATTCAGCATTAGCTTTACATCAACTTCATTATGAAACATTTTACATACAATACACTCACTTTATTGTACAGTTTCAAAAACTTTTGACAAATGTGCATACTCTTGTAATTGCCTGTGCAATCAAATGTTGTCACCACCCCCAGAAAGTTCCCTTCAGTTCTTTCCCTCAGGCTTCGTCCCCAGGCAATCACTGATTTGCTTTCTGCCACTATAGATTAGGTTTGTCTTTTCTAGAATTCATCTAAAAGGATTCATAAAATAAGTATTCTTTTATCTGGGATATTTTAGATTTCAGTGTTTTTTTTTAAATTTTTATTTATTTATGATAGTCACAGAGAGAGAGAGAGGCAGAGACACAGGCAGAGGGAGAAGCAGGCTCCATGCACTGGGAGCCCGACGTGGGATTTAATCCTGGGTCTCCAGGATCGCGCCCTGGGCCAAAGGCAGGCGCTAAACCGCTGCGCCACCCAGGGATCCCGATTTCAGTGTTTTTTAAAAACTTCCCTGGAGGGCCCCTGGGTGGCTCAGTCCACTGAGTGTCCAACTCTTGGCTTTGGCTCAGGTCATGATCTCAGTTATGAGATCAAGCCCTACATCCCGCTCTGAGCTTAGCATGGAGTCTGCTAAAGTTTCTCTCCGCCCCTCCCCATGCTCGCTCACTCATTCTCTCTCTCTCTCTCAAATAAATAAACCTTTTTTAAAATAAAAAATAAATAAAAGCTTCCCTGGATAATTTTAATGAGGAGCAATGGACTGGATGATCTCTCAGGGTCCTTCTAGCTAAAAAAATCATGGTCTCATCTGCTAGTCTAGAGATAGACATTGCATTTTAGGAATAATGAGTGACTTGTTATTGTAATAATTATGATAATACTAACACTAATTGAACTTTTACAATGTGCCGAGGCACTTTGCTGTTATTCATTGTATATTCCTACCTAAATCCACATAGCAGGGATCATGCCTGCTATTTATTTATTTATTTATTTATTTATTATTTATTTATTTATTTATTTATTTATTTATTTATTTAATACCTCAGAGGGGGTAGGTGCTAATATTATCCCTGACAACAGAGATGGAAACTAAAGCTTAGGGAAATTAAGTAACCCATCCAAGGCCAAAGAGCTACCTAGCAAGTGGTGGGGTGAGGATTCAAACTCAGATTTCCCTCCAATAAACAAGAGACTTTACTTTTAATCAAGATACTACAAAAGCGGGATCCCTGGGTGGCGCAGCGGTTTAGCGCCTGCCTTTGGCCCAGGGCGCGATCCTGGAGACCCGGGATCGAATCCCACGTCGGGCTCCCAGTGCATGGAGCCAGCTTCTCCCTCTGCCTATGTCTCTGCCTCTCTCTCTCTCTGTGACTATCATAAATAAATAAAAATAAAAATAAAAAAAAAGATACTACAAAAGCTCCTACGAGGTGAAGTCTGAGCCCCCACTACTTCAGGAGTGTAAAGTGATACCAGATGAATGCTTTCAGTTTGTTGATGAGTTCCAGCTGGGGAGAAGAAACTAATTTAAGTGTACATTTAGCAAGAAAGGCTTCAGGCAAAGAGCCTCTCACCTTAATATGAAAACTAAGCCGATTTGTTGCAAATGTCAAATGACAGTTCAGACTAAAGAGACTTCAGGGCACATGGGTGGCACAGTCAGTTAAGCATCTGACTCTTTTTAAAGATTTATTTATTTATGAGAGACAGAGCAGCAGAGACACAGGCTCCATGCAGGGAGCCCAACATGGGACTCGATCCTGGATCTCCAGGATCACACCCTAGGCCGAAGGTGGCGCTAAACTGCTGAGCCACCAGGGCTGCCCAGCAGCTGACTCTTGATTTCAGCTCAGGTCGTGGTTTTGGCTCAGGTTGTGGTCTTGGGATCATGAATTTGAGCCCCTCATTGGGTTCTGGGGTCCGTGCTCAGTAGAGAGTCTGCTTGAGACTCTGTCTCTTTCCCTCTGCCAATCCCCCACCCCACTCGCACACTTGCAGTGCATGCTCTCTCTCTCTCTTTTTCCCTCTCTCTCTCTCTAAAATAATAATCTTAAAAAGACCAGAGAGACTTAGGGGATATGAGATGGGGCAGAGGCTGCATCCTGCATGTCTTTTGAGATATATACAAAACTGAGATAGCAAGAATAGTTCATCTACTGATATCACTCTAGTAAATAACCTCAAGTTTCAATCCACATACTCACACACAAAAAAATCTATTTTTAGTTTTCAAAATACACATCCACTGTCACTATGAACAATGAACAATAAGTCTTATTCTCTGGTAGGGAAATCTTCTCACAGTACCTGGCAGGTGATCAGATACCTCCCTGCTTCTGCAAGTTCATTTGATCCTGTGAGTCTTGGCAGACTTGCTTGGTTGGTTATAGTCTATGCTTCCTATAAATTTACTGGTGGTTAAAACAACAAAACAAAACAAAACAAAAAAAGCATGGGCACAATGAAAATGTGTGTCTTCCTTAAGTTGCCCTCATCCGTGACGCCCAAATCCAAGTCTTGTCATGAGATCCTCCCAGTTCCTTGTAAGAGAACAGCGAGATCACCTAAGGCTGGCTGCCCAGCCAAGAGCAAGGCATAGCCTCAGCCGGCTGAGCCGTCTGTCCACTGGGTGACAGTGTTGATCCGTCTGGTTTAAATGTGCTTTGTCTCTGGGCCAGAAAACTCCGGGAAAGATTGCAGCCAGATGGCTTTCTGAGGGCCTTGGAGAATAGCTCTGCCTTTCTTCTCAGAGTGTGGCAGAGTCAGTCTGCTCTCTTCATTTTTCAAGAGAAAATGTGAGGTGTAGAATTGTTCCTGTTACCACGTCAGGCTGGGTTTCTGTGGGCAAAGTGGCATAGAGGGCGGATGTGATTGTCCATAAGAAGTTAACATGTGTTTTCTTCATAGTGTAACGAAGGCAAAAAGCCTCCAAATAACATTGTGAAAACTCATTTCAGCTCTTTATCCAGATGCCGTGGGATGGATTGATTCTTTACCCAAAGTGCTCACTCTTACACAAATGTGCTAGCATATGGGACGTGCATTACCCAGGCTCTGAAGAGGGACAAGACTGTCCGTGGAGTATCATTTCCAACTTGCCAGGGCACAGTTTTACATGGTTCCATCTGTTCTGACGTGATCCCTGTCTTCAGGAGGAGAAATAAAGAAGCAGAACAAAT